ATTTGAAATCTATCTCATGAAGTGGTGTGGGGGCATGTGTCTGCAGAACAAACTCTAGCTAGAATAAATTTGTTGCGAAGTTACTAAACTGGGGTGGGGGGGAGGGGCGGCGGCGGGAATAGGCAGCTGTGATGTTGAATAAGTTCATGTGGCATAACTTCGTCAAGATTGGTACATGGCATGGTAGGAGGTAGTGGAGCGTGATGGGGGTGTTGGGAGGTGTTTCTTCAAGCTAACTAATTAGGCCCCTTTAAAAGAAGCACCGTGCGCTGCATCCACATTGCGTTGCTGACAGGAATACGGAGTGAAGAGTCAGTAGGATCGCTGGAGCCCAGGAAGACAACCTTCAGTGCTCGGCTGGCGCTGCACCTGCAGTCACGAGGCTGCGACGCGCGGCCGCTGGAATGTGACATGCGCTCGGGCCAAATCTTAGGGAGGCGGACCCAACTGCACACTACAAACGATTCCTTTTTGACGATGCGTCTCGAGCTTGGAAACGCAGACTTCTAAACTCCGCACTTGGATGCTTTTCACGGCAAGCATCGCGAGACGTCTGTGAGGGCATGGCAGTCCAAGTTTTGTCGGGTTTTGTCCCAAAGTCAAGTCTGGAGGAGCCTCCCTCAACCCTAAACCGTAAAAAGTCTGGACACCGTATGTTTTTGTTGAGTTGACATGAGTGTAGGCCGGGACGACCGGGGCCTTGTTGCAACAGTGTCAGACGCGACTGTTCCCTGCGGAGTGGTCCCAGAGGAGGTCAGCTAGGCGGACGGCCAAAAACAACCTAAAAGCCTGGAGTTTAATTATAATCTAATTAGCAGAAAATATTCGAATTTTACTAGTTAAGAATGAGTCGAAATTCAAATGTGTCTGAACCCTAAACCCTAAACCAAGTAGAGTCCAAGGTACTTCAAGGCGCGCGCCGACCCCACCCATCCTCGCGACGCCAAGGGCGAGCTCAACTTCGAGGTCCGGCTGTTCATCCCCCGACCCGAATAGTGAATCCCCCCCTAATACCCCTAACGTTAGGGTTTAGGGTTTAGGGTTTAGGGTTTAGGGTTTAGGGTTTAGGGTTTAGGGTTTAGGGTTTAGGGTTTAGGGTTTAGGGTGGTAGGGATTATGGTTCATAAGAACACGGCTGCAATTGCGTGCGCACTCACCAACTAGTACCATGCCAAGCTTACTTGGATGAGATCGCCAATGGGTTGACACCCCACGGCACAGAGCACCAAACCGCCAGGGACCACATCAATCCGCTAACGTGAAGGAATTCCAGTTGGTCGTGCAGAAGGGCGCCCGATTTGCAGTGCAGCTGCCTTGCTGGGCAGATCCCCCTGAAAGGATCCTGACTCCCTCCGCATCGACAAGATCAAGCAGGAGCTGAGAATTCGTATTTGGTTCATTTTAGCTCCAGGAGCCCCCCCCCAGCCCAACACCCGCACCATCCGCAACAGATCTCAGATTCGAAGGACCTCGAGGCCCTCACGGCTGGAAAGCCGGTGGAGCTCCCCAAGTTTTGCTTCAAGACGGGCACCATCCAGGATCGCGTTGCGTGGTCCCCTCATGCTCTGTGGCTAAAGACTTCGGCAGGTGTAGCACGCTGTGGCAAGCAGGGGCGTACGCACAAGGCACTGGCTCGACGAAGATTGATGGGGGCGGTTTGGGGAGGGATGGGAGGGGGAGCTTTTTAGTTTAGTTCGCTAGTTTCCAGAAACGCCCCGAAAGCAGCATCGAGCCCCCTCCGCTACCCTCAGCAAAGAAAACAACCATGACACTGAGCATGTGAAGTAGCGAACAAGAACCGAGGGGTGGTGTAATATAGAACAATTTCACTTCTCTCCCCGAAACATTGAAAATGCGAATAACGAAGGTCAGAAATGAAAAACGAGAAACGAGGAGGGGTGGATTGTAGAACGATTTGACTTCTTTACCATGACACTGAACATGTAAACTATCGAAGAATGAGAAATGCCCAATGAGGGCCTTTTGAACTGACCCACACACCCTCTATCCCCGGCGACTCTGAAACAGCTGCCCGAAGGTTTCTGAGGCGGTGGGATGAAGGGTTTTCTAGGCAGGGATCTGGGGGTTGGGCTGCATTTATTTCCAGATCGTGATTTTCGATTAAGGGGCTCTCCCCATGAATCCTCTCCTGCCCTTGGCTGCATAATCGTGTTAGGGATGGAAGTTTCAAGAGAGGGTCAACTGTTTTGTCCCCACTTGGAACTTAGACCCTAAAGAAGCCTAAAGGCCAGAGATGGGGAGATGGTTCCCAGAAAGCTTGGAAGCTGCCTGCAGGAGAAGACGGGCAACATCCTCAAGCTGCCAGAGAGCGCCGTCCTCATCATCGAAGGAATCTTCGGACTCCATCCGAAGTTCCTCGCTGCCTTCGAGGACGTGTCCTTGTTCAAGGTGGCTTGGCATAGAACTCGAGGAGCTTCGTGTGCTTTTTCCCGCTTCTTCTGGAGGGTTCGAAGGAATGAGCAGGGGTGGAAGGATGTTCGGCTTTTTCGGGCTGCGGGTCCAAGGCTGCAGCACATAGACATGTACCCGCACTGCAGGGAGTCCGCCCAAAAAATGTGCAACAGCGGCGATACCTGCCTGCTCTGTTTTGTGCTTTGCTTGCTTCAAAGGTGCTTATCGGGCCTTGGTCCGGGTCGCGCCTCGGAAATCTCTGCCTGGTGCCAGAGTCTCGCCGTAAAGCGCCGAAAGGGGATTCCAGGTCCGTTGACAAATTCGGAAGGCGATAGCACAAAGGCGCTCCAGCTACATGAACAAGGCTCTGCATCGGACTGTTGTCAAGAAGGCTGAAGGAAAACTGCAAACAGCGATAGGCGGCTCATTCATAGATTGGAAAAAGAGTTCTCGCCCATTCTACAAAACTCGGCTTCTGTGATAGATCGGAGGAGCGGAAGTTCCGCCTCCTGCGCCGGATTGGCCGTGATGTGCGTAGCCGCGGCGTGGACGCGGCGCGCGTGATGCACAAGTGTCTGGGCAACTTCGGGGTCAGGATGTTTCGAGGTTAAGGAATCCCTTAGCTTGGCATTCGTAGTATACCCTCTGATGTCTGACACACGATACAGAACCCTCTATCTGTCCGTAAGTTTTAGCATCGTGGGACATCCTATTGTATGGGTAGAGCGCCAGATGACAAGCTCTGCATATGGTGAACAATGACATCTGAAGACGACAGTTTCGGCAGGACACGCTATTTGTGCTCCCAAATGCGAGCAACGATCGAGAGAAGGCACCGTATAGGCCAAGATAGCAGCTTAGAGTTGTGCAGGGACAGCTTTAAACTTGCCTACGGAGCTGTTAGGGGCTGGCTCGAACTTTGACATGATTTTCTAGAGGCTGGGTCGAGCTTGGAGGCTTCGCAGCTGGTCCGAAATTCAATCCCACTTTGCCCCCCCCCCCATTCTGGAAGATCCCAGGCTCAGAGATGAGACACTTCTATACACTTCTGTCTTAAGCATCATGTCTAGGAAAGAACTTTCTAGTAGCTCCTCCCTGCCGCAGCCTGACTCAGCCCTGTAAGGTTCACTTCGGCTGCTTTGCGATGGTTGGCGGGGTTTTGGCTTGCCTTTGCGGATTGCGGATGTCGTAGTCCTCTCTGAATGAAGGGCTTGGGGGATGGGACAAGGGCATGGCCTTGTTCTTTCAGCAAGCATTGAGCTGCAGAGGCCGTCTTCAGCTGACAATGTGGGCTTAAACTGTCTCAGATTCTCAAGCGCGACGTCATGTCCAAAGTAGGTCGAGACATGACTTCAGACATGTTTGCTCTGGCCTTTTCTGTGGCCGTCACCTGCAAAGATTAATCATGAACCCGCATCCTCAACTGCATCGCAAGCACACAAGTACTTTGTGCTGCCCAAAAAGGTGCACCAGGAAACATTGGTCACCAAGGTTTCTGCGGGAGAGCAGCTCAACATTTTCCCATATGCTGGGAAAGCCGACGTCATTTTTGATTCAACGCTGCATTATGAGCGGCTGGGGCAGCAAATGCCTGCAGAAGTCTGCTGGATGTTGCACCGATGGCACAGGTGTACGTAAGGCATTTATCGACTTGAGCTTTGGTTCTTCCCATGAGGTGTTCCTCCCCGGGTCAAGCAGTTGCCCTACATGGGCGGCTTGCCACTGAGGCTGTCAGCGTTGAAGGCGGTGATTGGGGCAGATGTTGTCCCTTGGCTGCATTACAGGGATGTGCAGGTTGTTTTTGTTGTTTCCTTCAAGGGAGCTCTGGGATCTTGCTTTAATTGCCAGATGGCGGCGGTTATCACGTCTCCAATCATGCTCACCACACCCTCATATCAGGAGGATATGGCTCTGGATCTGTCATTGTCGGGGAGGGGGGGTACACCTCAAATATGGCGACTGGAACCCAAACCCTGAGCCAAACCCGGAGCAAGCAGAGCTTGCAAAAGCGACAGGAGAATGCGACCAGTGATGACCCCGTGGTGCAGTGGCGAAAACGTGAATTGGCAAATTATCTTAGCTGGGCCGAAGCCTGGCCAGTCTCGGAATACGAGCTGCTTCCCACAAGCATTGCCTGTGAGTTTCTTGGTAGCTCCATTTTTGAGTAGGCGCCTGATTTAAATCTGATGCCGGTGTTTCCATCATGTGCAAAGCAATGTGCCAAAGGCATGTTTTGCATTGCCTCGAGCTGAATTAGGTCCTGCAGTCACGTGCCACCTCTCAAGCTTGGTAGCAGCGTTTGCATGAAAATCCTTTGAAGGAGCCTTCAGTCCTCAGAGCTTGAGTTGAAAGGGTGACCACTGCCACTTGCAAATGCAATGGCAGCTTGACTGCGGGCTTTTCATATTCGGCTCATTCAGGCAGCTGCCTTCAATTTGATTTAGATTTGGTCTTATCCGGCACCTGCATCATTGCATGTCGTTGAAGCAGCAGTCGCAAGAATCTGGCACGCCTATGGCCGGCATATTGCGCTTGATCTGAGATGTAAATTGCCCGCGAACCTCCAGTAGCCTTGTGCCACTTGCTAGGAGGTTGAGCCAGCTCTGCCACCGACGTGCGAGACAGCCACGGTCGAGCTGGGTGGCAGAGGCTGGGCTTCAAGTTGTCTTTTCCTTCAATCGCAGCCCCCCACAAGAGATGCAAAGGCCACTTGTCACACACATGCCAAGGCCACGATGCTGACGAGGAGAGCAATTTCAAAGGCTGCAGCGTTTACTGCACGCGTTTCAACTGGGCTCTTGCGCAGCGTTGCACAAGTCATCCGACTCTCTCTTTTAGGGCCTGTCGACGAGTCCACACAGAGGCAGAGTCTGATTATTATTATTGTTATTATTATTTTTTCTATTATTATTGGATAAGAGCCTAAGCTTGAAGGAGAGGCTGCCAGCCGAGGGCGCGAGCACACCACAGCCAACATCGAGGACAACGCACAGAGGACAGCTCTGCCCTGTGCAAACTGCCAGGCTCCACTCCACAAGTCGAACTACTCCTTCACTTCCTCCAAGCCCCGACCTTTCGTTTGAGTTCGTGTAGCCTCAACCCTAAAAAAGATCCTAAACCCTAAGCCTTAGCCCTAAACCCCCATAGCCCCCATAGTCATACATTGCCTTGGCACCGAAGGAGGACCCGGGCCGGCCGTGTCTGCCTGGCGACCTTCGCTGGCCAGGAATCCTGACAAATCCAAAGACCTTTTGGGTTTATAGGGTTTATAGGGTTTATAGGGTTTATAGGGTTTATAGGGTTTATAGGGTTTATAGGGTTTATAGGGTTTATAGGGTTTATAGGGTTTATAGGCTATACGGTTTCTTGGGTTTGTAGGGTTTATGGGTTTTATAGGGTTATCGAAAAAACTCAGATTCTCGTTGAGACTGCAGAGTCTGTGCTTCAAGCCAGCAGATGAGCCCAGGAGCACGGACAGCTCGGAGGTTGCGAGCCGACCCCTCCCTGCCGCACAGGACATAGAGGATGCCAGTCCAATTGATTCCAAGGAACTACAGTGGCTCAGAGAAATCTTTGCAGACGTTCTTTGCAGACGTTGTTTTCTACTTTGGTAGAGTTCTTCTGTATGACAGGATTTGTTGTTTGCCCGAGAAGATCGAATTTCTTGCCGAGTTCGCAAAAGAAGGCACTGAGGTTTTTCATGCGGGGAACCTTTGTGAAGCGGGGCTCAGATATGTTTCCAAGCATGCAATGCTGGGAAAGAGCATGCAGACACGGTTGCTTGCTTCGTGTCATTTCAAAAGTTCGGAGCTCGATCTATCCACGGGAGCCAGCAGCAGAGTCGCTTGGCCACGTGTCAAGGTGAGCGTAAGGTCCAGATCACAAGAAACACTGCAGTCGCAGTGTTTTTACATTCCTGTGATTGTGCCAGGGCGTTGCTTTCAACTATATCCGCAAAACATGATGAAAGGCTTCAGGTGGTTAAAGACGCTGCAGGACACCAGATCGAAAAGTTTCGGACCAGGTGAAGTGGTTAAAAAGGTAGGGACAGGATGGTGTGGATGAAGCTCTAATGCAAACATAACACGGAACACACATTCTTTTTATTGATAGTGGCAGAAAAAGACTACACGCACTTGTGAGCAAACGCCAGAACACCAAGCACACACACACACACACATCTGCAGAGTCGTTCGATGGCTTTGTTGGTTTCGAGTCGCACTGGTACTGGATACAGAATATCTGAGCGAGCAATGAAGAAGTATGGACGGAGATCTGGCAACAATGATTGTCTTGAAATACGGGGCTTTGAGAGCCAGCGGTCAGCGGCTGACTGGAATGGCAATGCTTCCAGATCTCTTGGAGCGTGTAGCAAAGTAAGAGGGTTTAAGGTTTAGGGTTTAGGGTTTAGGACTTCTGCTCTTCATAGTCTGGTGGTTGTCAAGGGAAGTACGCAGTTGGCTCGCGTCGCAGCATCGCTGATAGCATCCACGTGAAGATTGTCCGCGCAACAAGAACCTACCATAGTTGCCTTGCTCCTTACAGAAACGAGCAAGCCTAGGATAAGGACCACCAGCTTTGTCCAATCATTCTGCTGCAATACGCTGCCTTCCACTGTTGTCCGAGTTGTCGCCTTCACTTTTTGTAGTTCTCGGCCCGTGAACACTTGCCACCAAGTTTCACAGCCTTGTGGCATCTAGCGCCCCCAGCCCCACATGAATCTTAAGTGCATTAAGTGCTGAGTGAGATGAGAGCGTCATAAAGCCTTGCTCCTGATCTGCATCACCCAGGTTGGAAACAGCGACTTGGCAGCCAACCCTTCAGCGGAGAACCGTTCAGCGATGAACGAAAAGAGTTAGCAGAACCCTTGCCCATTTTGGGTGATAATACCACCAGTCAACCCATTAGACGATTATTCCTATGCTCCCCCCTACACCTCACCAACCATATCACTACTACTACCCCATTACCAATAATGCCAATCCCAGTATAGGAATATCCGATTACCTCATCCATATAAGAGGAATATTCCTATACTCCCTAACACTTCCCCCAAATATCACCACTACTACCCCATTACCAGGGGAATTTGATGCTGCTGTGCTGCTCCTCAACTTGGTGGGGGCCAAAAGCTGCTCGCTCGTGTTAATGAGTTTTTTTTGCTTAGCGAGCTTGCGCCAAAGTTAGTAGATTTGGGAAGCAGGCTTTCGCATGTTGAGTTGGGAGTGTACAGAATTTGCTTTTTTTTTCCGGAAGCAGGTTCAAAACTTAAATGCTCAAGGTGTCACATTAAAAAGACAGTTGAAGAATTCGGATACAGCAAGAATAACAAATTATTTGCAAACTGTATTCAATGCAGAGAGAAGAGGAAAGAAGAGTTTAGTCAGAAATATAAAAAGTAAGATGGTAAGCCGTCAGAAATTGATCATGTATTTAACCATATACGACAATTATTGCTTAATGATGAATTTCTTGAGAATTATTTTCTGATATTCAATAAGCAGGATAATAAGGTCATAATTGAAATTCTTATGAACGATGAGGTAGAGGATATCAATAGTAATCAATTAGTGCAAACCAACGAAAATAATTCGTTCTCTAAACTATATCGGATAGTGAATTCATAAGTATAATATAAATGTACTGTATAAGAGGAATTGCATTCTGAGTATATTATGGCTACAACCTTTGAAACTAAACCTAATAAAATCTAAAAGAGAACCTTTGCCCATTTTGGGTAATAATACCACCTTAGGGAATATGGATGGGGTAATTGGTTATTCTTATATTGGTCTTGGTAATGGGGAAGTAGTGGTGATATTTGGGGGATTGTAGTAGGGAGTATAGGAATAATCCTCTTATATGGATGAGGTAATCGGTTATTCCTATACTTGTATTGGCATTATTGGTAATGGGGTAGTACTAGTGATATGGTTGGAGAGGTGTAGGGGGGAGCATAGGAATAATCGTCTAATGGATTGACTGGTGGAAAATGGGTAAGGGTTCTGCTAACTAAAAGATGGTGCGATGCTCTGATATTTTCATTATTGCATGTCATTGCTACGTCACTTGCTTGGCATGTAGATAACATTGGAAGGAGTCAAGATATTAAAGCACTTCTTCGTACGTTTTGAATGGACCTTAAGGTGCTACTCAAGATGAAGCTCACCTTACAAGTACGGAATCCGCCCCCGAAAAATTTGCATGCTTGAAGTCGAATGGTACTTTGG